AAACAAAATCCATCTAAACTGTTGGACGAGTTTGAACTCCCTAGATGCCTGACCTTCTTCAGGCTCTCTCATCAATAAATTTATCTCTAAATCTGCTCGGCAGGCATCATCACTCATAAGAGTCTTAAGCTTATCTGAAGAACCTTGTTGTACCTCCTCTTGAAGGGATAGAGCAGAAGTTTGAGGCTCAACCAAACTGGAGGTGGCCTTGGAACCCGTCACCTTTTGCCTATTCAATGACCAGGTTTCTAGCCCGGTAAAATCAGACTTTGCCACCAAAGGCCCACCAGTACCCTTCTGGGAAGCTCGAGCCTCCAACATTAATTTCTTTTGCTCGACAACAGATAAGTCTGTCATCTTGTCTTCACAAAAGAAACACAAATGCAAACGTCATTAGTACCTTTAAATATCAAGGGCAGTTATTAAGTAGAAATAAGAAACAAGATTACCAAGGAAATTCAGGATCTCTTTAACCGTTAAGGGTATCATATCTTTAACCCTCATCATGGGGAAAGTGTCAAGTACACCCAAATCCATGATTTTCGAGTCGTTAAGCTTGTCATAGCTAAAACCAGAGATCAGAAAGGGATCTTTAGTCCAGTAATAGGGGAAAATCATATGCCCATCTAAAGCATATAGTTCTTGGGGGCATCTCGGTCCATACTTGACTCGCAGAAACCGATCCTTGAAACCCTTATAATTCGAGGTATATACCCGAAGAAAACTTTTGTGGGGAATGCCACTAATCTGAATCCAGGTACACTTCTCAACCCCTTTCACCTCAAACAAAGAAAATAAAAAACCTATGGTAAGAATAATATTCATTGCCTCACAAACTATCTCAAAGGCTTTTATAAAACCTCACCTGTTGGGGTGAAGCTGAGAGGGCGCAACATATGGTCTTCAGTATGTCTACCTCGAAACCTAAGAAAGTCAGGAGGAACTTGAAATCCTCCATTACCTAGATATAAAAATAGAAGAACTCTTCTCGAGAGCTCTTTGGGCGTAGTATACATACCCGTTCTCCAGGTTTACAAGACTCCAGAATCTGAGGAGGAAGATTTGGATTCAAAATCACTTAATGAGATGAGGATATCACCATAAACTTCTCTTGTGATTCGATCAAATTCCTCCTGACCTAAGGCACCCTAAACCTCACGCATGCATTGATCCCACATTTGTTTCTCTCTTCGGCGTTTCTAGGTTTCACGATATTCCCCTCATCGTCACACTCTCTTATGGTTACCATTTTTCTAAAAATAAAAAGAAGAAAGAGTAAAATAAAGAGAAGAAGAGAAGAGAGTACCTGAAGGGGATGAATGCCTTGGTAAAATGCAAGCTTCTATGGAAAAAAAACGTTACTAGTGCTAAGATGAAAAATGAAAGAAAGAAACAATGTTTAAATAAGGGTCCAATGAAAAGTGCACTAGGGAAGGAAATGTCGCTAAATAAACAAGTTCCAATAAAAGTCATCATTGCGTAATGAGAGAGAAAGTTACTCAAGAGACGCGGCTCTTCCGTTCATGACACGTGCATAGAGGTGAGGTCGGGTTATAACCCAGTCTAGACCTTAATACATCTCGTACTTTTATTGATCAAACACTTCATTCTTACAAAAATAATTTGTACTCGGAGGGCTTATGTACATCCCATAAATATTAGCTTTGACCGAGTCAAAATTCTTCTGTAAAGAGAACAAAGCGAGTATATAGCCTGTAAAGATGAATAGTCCATCTGTGTTACCAACCCAAATATCACACGTAACCAGAGTTCATCTGCTCATAGCCGACTAGCAACACAACCCATTAATGATTGTAACAGTTGTTGGCATATTAAAACCGGTGTTACGCAGTCTTGAACACATTCATTCATTGCGACAACGACAATTATATGGTTCAGAAGCCAAAGAGTCACCTCTTTAATGAGGCTCTTAATGGAGCAACATGAAGACTATATAAAGGGGCTCCCGCCAAAAGGATAAGCAAGACATTCATCTTGGGTCAATACGCATTACTTTCATAGCACCCAAATCCCCAAAATAATACAAATATCTACCCAATCGAGGCTCTCCTTATTCCTACAAGGAAGCCACTCGTTTATTGTTTTTACACAAGAACACAATTTCTACACATTTATACAAAAAATCAATAAATTTTACAAAAAAACTTACAAATAGTTGCTTGTTGTTGATTGATGTTGCTTGAATGTGGTTTGAGAGACTTGGAGAACATGAGATTTGAGAGAGTTTGAGAAAATGAGTTTTGAGAGAGTTTGAGAAAGTGAGGAAGGTGATGGGCTTCTGGCGCTTTTTAGAACAAAGAGTGTTTAAAGATGCATCTACGTAAGGTATACAAAGATGTATCTTCGAAATATTTTTACATGGAGTTACAGCTTGATTCAAATTTACACTGAATTTTGGTGCGTCTAAAAGTGCATCTACATAAGATATACATAGATGTATCTCCGTAACAATCATTCCATTGATTTAGGGACTGATTCATAAATGTATTAAATTTTGTTGTATCTGAAGATGCATCTCCGAAACCTAAAGGCATTATTGTATTTTCATGAAGTCTGCTAGTAATGCATATGGTGCATTAAAAAATCGAGAAATTAATATCTCACCCCCCCAAATTATACATGCCACCCTCCCATATTTCATTATTTCCAAAATGCCCCTTTTACTCTAAAAAAATTTACATTTGTCAAATTTTTTTTTTACTATTGGTCAAAGTGGGTCAAAACAAAATTTCTGGTACACTGACCAAATTTTCGGTACCCCAATTTTGGCGTATACCGAAAATACTTTTTATTACGCAAACTTCAGGTTGCGAAAAATCGAAAATTCCATAATTTCCAGTTGCGATTCACCGGAAATTTCAAAATTTCCAGCACGATTTCCAGAAGCCATTGTATAAACTGAAAATTACGCAAATTTCCGGAAGGTAGCGTAACACTAGAAATTTTAAATTCCGTGTAACCGGAAATTTCAATTATGCCTGAAATTTCTGGTATGCCTGCAGATGAAATTTTATGCATTTGCAGTCCAGAGCCGACAACTTCAACTTCTTCTATGGATTCATGTACAGATGTTACGCAGTTCTTCACCACATATACTGTATATCTTCTATTGAATTTACACATTATTATTTGTTTGTCGACCTTAAATAAATTGATGAAGTTTACAAATTATATGTTGTTGTAATTGGCAGATTTTTGAATCTCTGCCTAGAGTTCTAGAATGGGTACAGTTTATTGGTAAAAAGCATGATATTATTGTTGTTACAATTTGTTCCGATTTGGCTAATAAAATATGTGGGAGGAAGGATAAATTGATTATTGGTTGTGATATAGGAAGAAATTTCAAAAGAAAAAATGAATCTGAGTCCATCTCTGATGGCATCTATACTATGAAAGTTAAATTCCCCTTTAGGATGAGATCTGTTCCAAGTGGTATCATTTGGAAGGTGATGGTTAGATTCAAGATGCATAATCATAAATTAGATAAGGGCTTGGACGACCATGACATATTAAGACGTCTAAAAGATCATGAAAAAAGTTTTGTGAATGACATGATGAAGTACAATATGGCACCAAGGTACATCATTTCTGGTTTGAAAGACAAAGATACATAAAACCTCATGAGTATTACCCAGATATATAGAGCTAGAGCAACATACAAATTGAGCAAGAGAGGTGCAATGGCTGAGATGCAAATGTTATTGAGCCTTATTCACCAAAAAAAATACATGTGTTGGACTAGAAATAGGGAGAACTCAGATATTGTAGCTGATATCTTCTGGACGCATCCTGATTCTGTGAAGTTGCTGAATATGTTTCATCTGGTGTTGATTTTTGACTGCTTATGAGACTTAACATCACATTTTTCCTCTTATCATAGCTCCACCCATGTACACGAGTCAGCACACAATCATTGTTGTTGGTTTTGTCAATGATAATTATTGAGTTAAGATAAAGTTAAAATTTGATTTTCCATTGCCTCCCGTCACTGCTCGTTGGAAACAAAATTGTTCTAATGATGCAAAAGCATGAGAATCAGCATATGCGAATCACTTCAGGCATTGGGAAGATTTGTGTAGGAAGTAATTCTAATTTTTTTGGATACAAATATGTATGACAATTATTCTATTTATATATTAAGTCGGTTAGTTAATTTACTGTATAAATTAATCAAGTAAAAGTTAAAAATTGGGAAAAATAACTACCAGTACCACCAGAACTTTGAAATTTCCGGTACATATAAGAAAGACAAGTACCCAAAATTTCAAATTTACGGTAACATAAATTTGAAATTTCCGATTACATGCCTACGCACAATAAAAAAATGGTAAATTTAACAAAATTTCTGATATTTCATCGAAAATTCTGGTACGAAATCGTAAATTTCCAAAATTTCGGTATTTTACAGAAACTTTTCGGTAAATTTACCACTGATGGGAGGTGGCGTGTATAATTTGGGGGATGAGATGTTCATTCCTCTAAAAAATCCCCTGGAATTTTAAACGATTTTCTTTTTCACCTTATATTTTTCTAGCGCATCACGCGAAATTTCAAAAATACCTCTAAAAATCAAAAATATATTTTCAGTGCGCACCTAAACACATATATTTCATTCATTTTTTGAAATTCATCATATTTTACGATAAAATTTGTCTCAAAATGCACTTCCAAACATTCTCAAAAATACGTTTGCGTTACTAAGTAAATTCTTAAGCTTCCATAAAGTCCGTACGTAGAATTGACCGACAAACTTGTAAGAATTTACCTAATAAAAAAGTGATATTAAAAAACCTTTAAATGAGATCTAAAAATAATAGAATAGCATTAGTAGAATTTTTTTTCCTTGTAGGGTTAGAAAAAGAAATCCTCAAATTTTGAGAAATAGAAAGGCCATCAGTGCCTTCCCTTCCCGAAACTTCAGAATTAAACCGTCTAGCACAAACTCCGAACCCAAAACCAAAACCAAAACCACACCTCCAATGTTCTCCACCATTCTCACAAACGGCGTCCCCTCAAAATCCCACCTCCCTCATCCCAAAACCCGTTTCCCCCATTTCCCAATCCGCTCCGGAATCCGCGAAATCCGCGACCGAATCAACAGCGTCAAAACCACCCAAAAACTCACCGAAGCAATGAAACTAGTCTCCGCCGCCCGAGTCCGCCGCGCCCAAGAAGCCGTCATCAACGGCCGCCCCTTCTCCGAAACCTTCGCCCAAGTCCTCCAATCCATCAACCAACAGCTCCAATCCGACGACGTCCAAGTCCCTTTAACCGCCGTTCGTCCCGTCAAAAACGTTGCCCTCGTTGTCATCACCGGTGACCGCGGCTTATGCGGCGGTTTCAATAACTCCGTCGCCAAGAAAGCAGAAGCCAGAGTTCGCGAATTGAACAAACTAGGTATAGGTTGTGTTGTTATCAGTGTTGGTAAAAAGGGTAACTCTTATTTCAAACGTACGAGTTTTGTTCAAGTTGATAGATTCATCGAAAACCGCGGGTTTCCCACCACAAAAGATGCTCAGATTATTGCTGATGATGTTTTTTCACTTTTTGTTACTGAGGAAGTTGATAAAGTTGAACTTGTTTACACAAAGTTTGTTTCTTTAGTTAGGTTTAATCCTGTGATTCAAACATTGTTACCATTATCGAAAAAAGGCGAGGTTTTGGACGCCAATGGGAACTGCGTCGATGCCATGGGAGACGAGTATTTTAGGTTAACTTCTAAGGATGGAAAGTTGGCTTTGAAGAGAGATGTTGTAAAGAAGAAATCGAATGATGAGTGTGTTCCGATTATGGAATTTGAGCAAGATCCTGCTCAGATTCTTGATGCAATGATGCCGCTTTATTTGAATAGTCAGGTTTTGAAGGCGTTGCAAGAATCATTGGCGAGTGAACTTGCTGCTAGAATGGGTGCTATGTCGAATGCCACTGATAATGCTGTTGAGTTGACTAAGAATCTTTCTGTTGTTTATAATAGGGAGAGGCAAGCTAAGATTACTGGGGAGATTTTGGAGATTGTGGCTGGAGCTGAAGCATTGAAACCAATTGATTGATCTGGTTTTTTTAGGTTTGTAATGTTGGGAGAATGCTGAGATTCTGATTATTGTTGTTAATATGGACAACATATTTACTTTACAAATAGGTTGTTGAAAGATGATTGGTTAAGAGATATAGAATGTAGGTTGGGGGTTTTGACCCCTAATTCATTTACTTGTGGTTTAAGGAAAGGGAATTGGTTTGATTTATTGTTTCTTATTATCAATGATTGTACATTTGTAGTTGCACCGCGCTTGTTATCAATGTCGTCTTGGTGTGCAAGGTGGGTTATTGCATAGAACCTAGCCCAAAATTATTGCATAGAGCCTGCCCAAAATTTGATACGTTAAAACCGTGGTTAAATAGGATCTTATTTGATTTGCCACAGTTATGTTTGGTTAAGGTCTCCTACAACAAACGTGAGACAATCCAGTTTTTTTTAAAAACTTTCAGAATAATAGCAAAACTTTGATCTCATATTTTCAGCATGTTTTTGCTTAACCGCACTGAGAGAAAAATTAACCTTTATTTGGATTGTTGATGGGGAGTAGTATGAAATACCTTTGTTGGATTGATGATGGAGTAGTATGAAATGGAGTGGTATAGAATGAATGAAGTTCTATTGTTTGGATTAAAGAAAAAGGGTGGAATGGTGTGAGACATGATAAGATTGACCCATCTCATTCTATCATCTTCCCTTATTACCATAGGATAAAATCAAGACTCTCTTAAACTGTTGTTAGTTACAAAATTATCAAATTAAGGGAGTTATTTTTTATAGTATAATATAATTCATTATTTTTTTTTAAACACAAGAATTTTTTATTATAAAAAATTTGGGGGTGCTCTTTCTACCTTTATATGTTCTCCTCCACCACTATAAAAAGTCACAGATGCTTAGAGTCTGAAGTTGCTTCTTCAAACACATTTTTTAAGTCATTTCTCATAATAAATTAAAGAGACACCTTTATTGTGTCAAAATTTAATCTGGAGATGCATCTTCTTATGTGTAAAAAGTGCATTAGAAGACGCACATCTGTAAATACTATTTATTCAAAAAATAATGGATGATCAGTCTAGAGATGCATCTTCAGACACCTTTGTTTCATATCTCGCGCCAGACCTTCCATCTTCCTCTTTTTTCATTTTCTAAAGCTTTCTCCAAACAAAATATTTGAGCTCTGCAACAGTGAAGGTTCTCATCCATTCATTCAAGCTTCTATCATTGGAGCTTTACGACATTCAAGCTTCTCTTCATTTTCAGCATCTCAAACATTCAAGGTATTTCTCATCATTTTGATTCAGTAAGTATTTCAAAAAAAATTTATTTCTATTTTTTGATTTGTAGTTAGTTGTTTCAGGTACATTAGACAGTAGTTCAAACGAAATTGATAGCCTACAATAACATGCATTGAGGTATTTTTTGGAGGATTAGGGCAAAAATGATGTTTCTGCCATAGAAAAGAATCGTAGGTTTGTTCGAAGATGCATGTCCGAATTTTCTATGAACTGTTTTCGGAGATACATCTTTAGATTTGACTCAACATGAAATTTGGTTGATTTTGTGGAAATTGTGGATTTTGCTCTGAGTTATTTTTCTCCGTGTCTGGTTGTAACGCAGGTGTGATGCCTGAAAATAACCTTGACAAAATTAGGTTCAGTCGCGTGTCCCTAACCGCGTCGGTACGACGTGAGAGAGCCACAATTAAGACCACGAGGCCACAAGTTAATGATAACTTATTTGATGGTTCACAGGACCGAGGTTCCCAACCATCTGGTTCTTGTAGACGCCTTCCTCAGACATCTACTTCACGGGGCCATGAGTCCCCAAATGATGCATCAGAACCTGAAGCCCCTAAGCCCTTGAAGCCCACTAGAAAGTCGTTGTCGGTGCCCCTTTAGATGGTTACCTAGGAGGCCCATTTGACACCTCCTTACTTATTCTCTATGCAGACCATGCTACTAGACATGTCTGGGAAGGAGAGGTTTTTTTTTTTACTTTTGCAATACATATATTTTCAACTAATTAGATCGATATTGATGTTGGTATTTTCTTTTTACAGGAGTGTACGTGTTTGAAATTGGTAAACCACTGCGGGAAGATATTGGATTTGCCACAACCCAATACTGATTGGTTCGTTATAATTATTCGTTATTGCGGTCTTGCCGTTTATGTTCTGCTGCATACGTGACCATAAATCACAACATGCATGCTACTTTTACAGAGAGGTGGCACTTTGAAACGTAATCTTTCCACCTTTCTATAGGTGAGATGACCATCACCTTGGATGACGTCTCATGCCTCCTGCATCTTCCCATTAAGGGGAGTTGTTACCTGATAATTTTGACATTAAAAGTAGGGTCTAAATTTAAAGACTACTTTATATGAAAAATTGAATATGGTAGTTGACCGTTGGCAGTCGAAGTCGATCTGGTGTTTTGTTTTGGTCTCAGGGACTTAGCGTATTTTGGTGGTGATTTCCATGCAACAACTGCAAATTCAATTACGAGCGATTACTTCACTTACAAAGGGATAAGATCAAATAGCGGCTACACACAGTGGTTTAGATGTCAAAAACACGTGGAAGCAAGCCATCATCCTCGAAGCCACATAATGAGGATATGTGTCGAACATGCACATAACAATTATAGAAGACTATTACAAATGTAGTAGTATATATAGGTAATCCAGGTGTCAGAATTAAGGGTCACAAATTCACATACAACACTCTAAAATTTAAAGTATCTGCATTACAGAGAAAAACAAATCAATGATAGAATGTATGCTCTTGTGTACTATCTTTACATTTCTTACACATTTTATTAAAGCAATTTGACTCGGTCGTTAATTTCATTATAACTTCTTTTTTACTTTGCATTCAAACTAATGGATACCTTGAACAAATCTGAGATTTCTTGCACAAATATGTCTTAAGATTTATTAGTCGATCATGCAAGCAACCATTTTTATAGACTAGCATTTGTGTGAAAAATATCGATAAATAAATTGGTACATTCGGTGGGGCCCTTTTTGTGTGTAAAATTCTTAAAAGATTTTTTTTTTTTACGGAAAGTGTGTCTTTTCAAAATTTTGTAGTTCTTCATTTGTGAAATGTTGGTAGTTGTGCATGTATGCATCTGAGGAGCGAAACTTTCAGAAATGGCACACCCACCACCTAGAAATAATCTCTCTCCCCATAACGTCCTTCCAAATACATAAGAAAAAGAGAACATAATATCACATGATGCAGTAGGAACTTCGACTATGGGGGGAGAAAACCCTACCAACGTTAGATTGGTAACCAATTCGCCGACACCATAAGGAACGGTAGTTACGCCACCCCGAGTGATGAGCGTTCCTACTACCCCCAGGGCACCCCAAAGTGTGGTTATAGGCCATATGCCTTTTTCTTGTTAAATTTTACAACGCCTTTAAATGATAGGGAACAACCTTATGGTATACTAACGTCAGCCACAATAATCCTTCAGCCAAGTGCATCCACGTTCGTATATATACAATGGATATCATGTCCCCTTGTAATCCTTATTTACCACAAGGGTCGACAATGAATTATCCTGGCCGAACGATGCAACCACTTGGAGGACCAATTTACCCTCCCGCATGATTTCAAACTTTGACCAATCATACCCTTCAATTTGTGAGGCAACCGATGGCCAAAAGTAACCATGAAATGGTTAATTTTCTTACATGATAAATGGGCACAATGTTTAATCCCTTGATTCAGAACACCACTTATAATTACCAGCAATTGACACAACAAATGGGTCGAATCACTGATTTCTTTGGCGCTCCCCAAGTGCCAGCCAAATAGTTGTTAGGAACTTAGCCTCAATGACAAGTAACAGTAGTCGAAACATCCACACCTAGGGTCGTCGAAGACACCGTAGGCCAAGAAGGACCTAGAGTAGTCTTAGTGCATCAAAACCAAGATGTAGAGCAAGTACTTGGAAATGTTCGATAGAACAATTTTGTTGGACATAACCACCTAAATAATATTGTGGAGCAAATATTAACCCAAAATGGTCTGAACATAGGCCTCCATAGGTCAAATTTTGTGTCTCCTCTCTCTGAGTATGTGCTACAAACCGGATTACCCAGAGGTTAAAAGATTCCAAAATTTATTAAGTTTGCAAAAGACACAACTAATTTGACTGTCGATCACATTGCTCGATATCAGTCAGAGGCTGGAGATCTAGCCAACAATGAAAATTTGAAAAATGATATTCTTCCCAAACTCCTTGACAAAAAATGATTTTACATGATTCACTACCCTTCCCCTACATTCAATTCATAACATGGAGCAATTAGAAAGAGAGTTCAATGAACAATTCTACACGGGTCAGTCGAAGATTAACATTAAGGAGTTAGCCAGTGTTAGGCAAAAGGTGGTCAAATCTATAGACGATTACCTCAATAGGTTATGGATCATGAAATCTAGATGTTTTACTCAAGTATCTAAACATGAGTTAGTCGAATTAGCTACTGGGGGTCTAGACTATTCAATTAGAAAAAAGTTAGACACCCAATATCTGAGAGACATGGCTTATTTAGCAAATAGAGTTTCACAAGTCGAACACTTGAAGTCTGAAAAAGCTAGGTCAAACAAACTTCATAAGAAAGAAAAAGTTTCTTACATAGACATAGATGAAAGAGACAAGGAGTAAGCCATAGGATACGAGTAAATAAAAGAAAATAATGTAAATGTGGAAGAACTAAAGCGAGGGCCTCTTTATGCCAATAAGTTATTGAAACCATCCGACAAGAAAAACCCAATTGAACCCAAAAATGATAAATTCGTTGGCAAAAAATATACCTTTGACATAATTAAGTGCGACGAAATCTGCGACCTCATAGTTGCTGATGGATAAATTATTATCCCCAAGGTATTAAAAACGTCACCTTTAGAGCAACACAAGAAAAGATGGTTCTGTAAGTTTCATAATTTCCTTGGTCATAAAACTTCACATTGTGTCCTTTTGAGGGATTTAGTGCAAG